AGCAGCCTCAGCTCCACCTGGAAACTTGTTAGAAATGCAAATTCTCAAGCCCTGCCTTTGGCCTGTTAAATCAGAAACTTGAGATGGGGTGGAGCAGCCTGTGTTTGTGGAACTATCTACATGATGCTAATACACACTAAAGTTTTAGAGACCCTCCTCTAGAGGGAGAGAGTATGGAGTGAGAAGAATTTTGTCCTGGAGTTGAACCATGAGAAGGTTTGACTTTTAAAGACTGGGAGGCGAAGGATGACTCTGCAAAGGTTGGAAGTAGTGTTTAGATGGTAAAAGGAAAATCCAGGAATCAAGAGAAGAGAGGAAAGTAGAGAGATACTTGTTGCTGACATATTATTAGGTAAGATGATGCATGCACAATGTTCTCTGGGTTTAAAATAAGTAAATCCAGACAGACAGAAAATAAAATAGTGTATTGCCAGGGGCTGGAGGAAAGAGAATGGGGAGTGACTGCAAAAGAGTACAGAGTTTCATTTTGAGGTGATAAAAATACTTTGGAATTACTGGTGATGGTTGTACAACGTTATGAATACACCACTGAATCGTACACTTTAAAAAGGAAGATGAGGCCGGTGGCTCATGCCTGTAATCCCAGCACTTTGCAAGGCCAAGGCAGGCAGATTGCCTGAGGTCACGAGTTCCAGCCCAGCCTGGCCAACATGGTGAAACCCTGTCTCTACTAACAATACAAAAATTAGCTGAGCTTGGTGGCGAGCACCTGTAATCCCAGATACTCGGGAGACTGAGGCAGGAGAATCACTTGAGCCGGGAGGTGGAGGTTGTAGTGAGCCGAGATCACGCCGTTGCACTTCAGCCTGGGTGACAAGAGCAAGATTTAGTCTCAAAAACAAAAAAAGGAAGATGAGTAATTCTTTAGAGAAATCTTGTTTTAAAGAGTAGTCCAAACAGGGTGGAAATTAAAGGAAGATGCGGAACTAGGAAAGTTTTGGATGGCCAGTAGGAACCTGAAAATGTTTAAATTCTGTTGATCCAGAAGAGAGATAAAGAGATGATCAATGGTGTAGAATAGGGGTATAACCTCAGAGTCGGAGGGGACTTTTGGGGCCAATAGTCTGCTGTTTTCCTAACCCCTGACCTCCATTTCATGTTACAACGCAGGTGAAAACAATTCCTCAGAAGGGATCTTTCCACTCAAGTTTGAACATCATGTGGGGCAGGTATTTTTCTGCCCCCGTGGGCCACCATTCTGCTTTGAGATGGTTCTGACTATATTGGTGAGTGGAGGAAAATCAACAGGGAAGCTTGACTTACAAAATGGGAGGCAATGTTGCCTCTTAAATGGACTTTCAATCTTTTTTTAGTCATTTCCTTTATCCTCATTTCCAGGAGAACCCAGTGATGCCAATTCCTTAGGCTTTAAGACTTACCTGGTATTAATTGTGTTGGCTCTCAGTTTTTTGTTTTCTGTTTTTTTTGGAGACAGAATCTTGCGCTGTTGCCCAGGCTAGAATGTAGTGGTTTGGACTCCTCTTTAAAACAAGATTTCTCTAAAGAATTACTCATCTTCCTTTTTTTTTTTTTTTTTTTTTTTTTTTTGAGACTAAGTCTCACTCTTGTGGCCCAAGCTGGAGTACAGTGGTGCGATCTCGGCTCACTGTAACCTCTGCCTCCCAGGTTCAGGCAATTCTCCTGCCTCAGCCTCCCGAGTAGCTCGGATTACAGGCTTCCACAATCATGCCTGGCTAATTTTTGTATTTTTAGAAGAGACAGGGTTTCACCATGTTGAACCAGGCTAGCCTTGAACTCCTGACCTCAGATGATTCACCCACCTCAGCCTCCCAAAGTGCTGGGATTACCCAGCAGGTTCTCAGTTTTTTCATTGTCAGTTTAGTGTTCAGTTTTCTTGGTCTTCCAACTTATTTACCCTTTGTCCAAATGATTCCCAGCTTTCAAAATTTTATTGTTTTGTCTTCTCTCTTATTCTCCTTGTCTTTGTTGATTTTCATTTTTTAAAGGGGCTTTAAAAATTCACCTTTTGGTCAGGTGCAGTGGCTCACGCCTCTAATCCTAGCACTTTGGGAGGCAGAGGTGGGCGTATCACTTGAGCTCAGGAGTTCAAGACCATTCTGGGCAACATGGTAAAACCCTGGCTCTACAAAAAATACAAAAATTGGCTGGGTGTGGTGGCTTGCACCTGTATTCCCACCTACCTCAAGGGCTGAGGCTGGAGGATCACTTGAGTCCAGCAGGTGAAGGTTGCAGTGAACCAAGATCGTACCACTGCACTCCAGCCTGGCTGACAGAGTGAGACCCTGTTTCAAAGAAAAAAAAAATCTCCTTTTAATAGGGTTTGGTAGATGCGTAGGTTCAATCTTCCATCTTTACTTTCTCCCTTTTCCCTCAGAGAATATATAACATGTTTTTGTGTCCTTTCACTGTTATAGTATTCTCCAGTGACTACGTATGAGCCACATGCCACTAATAGGCCATTTCTTTCTTGTCCAGTCTTTCGGAGCAGATTTTGGGAACCTGTTGGCACTATGTGGCTGCCATGAGGATTAAGTGTGCTAATGCATCTAAATTACCTGACACAGTAGGTGTTCAAAAAAGGCATGCCAATTCCTTTCTCAATCTGGAGGATATGACTTAATTCTCTTGTATTCCTTGTTAGATTTCAGTTTGTCACCTTCTGTTTGCCTTTGCAGCCTGTGGTGACTGACTTGCCTAGTTCTGTCAGATGGCATGTTAACTCTCCCTCCCAGCTTTGCAGGCCTGCAGATTTGACCACCAGGTCACCGGAGCACTCCTTTTAGCCACTGGTAATCGTTGTGGCTGTGGTGGGGTAGGAGGTATCATGAGAGCCTCACCATACTTTGCAGACATTCAGAAAGAATAGGCTTGGAACTTTTTCTGGTAACTTACATTAATGAAATTGTTTAGCTGAGTCTAGGCGTGGGAAGATATACTTGAAAGAATAAGGGATACCTCTACTTCTTGTAATTTTTAAAATTCTTTTTACATACAAAGAAAATTTTACCCCCTTTTAAGAAATGTAAAGCAGTAGTTTTTAACCCAAGGTCTGTGGAGAGAATTCAGGGAGTCAGTGAACTTAAATGAGAAAAAAAATTATATCTTAATTTTTATTAACCTTACCTTACCGATTATAGGATTACATTCAATTATAAATGTTATAAATAAACTGTAGTAGCATTAGCAATGTAAGTGACAATTTAATATCACATTACAGTTATTTCTTAAAATATTATTTGTGCTCATTCCTTCCTCAAAATTATAGTGGTGGTTATCAAACTTGCCACTAGGTCTTGTTATATAATATATTAATTTAAAAAGTACCTTTTGGGGTATTGTAAATTTGTATTTTAATATGTTGATAACTTTATTTAAATGTAATTGAAATAGTTTTCTGTTAATCCTAGCTTATACATTAAAAACATTATTCTGAGAAAATGGGTTCACAGGCCTCCTCAGGTCACTGAGGGTCCATGGCACAGAGATTCTGAACCCCAAAGACAAGTGTCTGCCAAGGAATATGTAGTTGTTTGTATAAACTAATATTTTTCTTAGATCCCTAGTCACTCCTTTCTCCAGCATAGCCCATTAAAATTTGCTTTCCAACATATAGTTTATACTTTTACAAGATATTTGAAAAGGGGGCTATTTTATTTTTCACTGACATGTGAGTTCAGAAAAAGAACAAAGAACCCTCCTTTTGAAATGAGACTTAAATATTTGAAATAATTGAAGTTTTGGGGCTTAAGCATTCTGTTAAGTTGCTTTGCTAACTTACTCATTTTATGTTACGCTCTTGGGATTCTGAAACTCAAGGATGATGAAGTTACATGGCTTAGCAGCCATAGGCTCAAGTGACCTCGGATGGTTGTGAAAGTTGGTTTTATATTAATTATACCTTAAAGCCCTTAAAACTATGTTCTCCCCTCGGAACACCTGCTGGCCCCTTCCTGGTGGTTGCTGTGTGTGCCTTTGACTTCATCTGGACAGTGTCTGCCTGCTGTGTTTCTTGGGTCAGCCCTGGGAGGCTGGGCAGAGAGCCTGGAGCCTTGAGGTCAAGTTTCCTACCTCGGACACCTTGGAACTCTGTAGTGTTAAAGCTCTGGTGCCAGTTCTTGCTGAACTGACCTGAACTTGATACTTTAGTTTTATGTTGCCTAAAGCAGGTCTGCTAAATTGCTCTAAAAACTTAAATAAAGTATGAAGCACTCAATTTTCACCACAGTAGGTTCCCACTCCTTTTGAAGGAGTGCTTCATGGTGTGTTAGAAGCTCTCATGGATCCCAGTGACTCAGAGGAGAATGTTGGAAGCCAGACTACATTTTTCTGTTTTCTTTCTTTCGTTTTCTTTGTTGTAGGGGAGGGATGGCATTTAATCCATGAAAACACCTGCTAGGTTCTGTTGACCTACATACATTGTCTCTCTTATCTTTTTATGCTTGTTTTTATCATATTCCTGACAGGAGGTTATTCCTCTGCCAGAATACCTCTTGCAATGATGAATGTTTTACTTAATGAAACCGTCCAATTCACTCTTAATAATAATAATAGTCTTCGTATTTATGAATTGCTTCCTATGTACCAGCCACTATATGAAGGACTTTACGTATTTAAAACAACATAATCTGACAACAGTTCTATGAGTGATAGCTATTATCATTAACTTCATTTCACAGATGAGGAGACCAAGATTCATCATAGAGGTAAAATAACTTGCTTAAGTTCCTATGCAGTATGTGACCGATTTGAAAGTGGAACCAAGGCAGTCTGACTTAGGAACGCAGGCTCTTAAATCGGCCTGTTGGATTAAAGCAATTTCAGAAGTGCTTCAGTTAAGCTGTCGTAGTTAACTAGCAGGGTCTAATGTATGGTATAAGTTTATCATGTTGATAGCTGTGAAGCCAAACAAGCACATCTCCAGCCGACTTTGGTGTTGTAATTTATTATTCGAATGTTCTAAATGCAACATTTAATGTTGAGTTTATTTATGTTTACAGGGATGCTTCCTTTGGAAACTGCACTTACAATCTCACCATCCTCGACTGTTTGCAAGGAATCAGAAAGGTAATAACAATTCTCCTTTCTGTAGTTGACACAGTAGTTTAAAAAAGTATGAGAAAGGAATAATCTCAACGCCCTTATTTGTTATTGGAGGGAAGAAAGGGGAGCCAGTAAGTAGAAGACTTTTTACTTCTTGAAGGATGATTGATTTGTAAAATACAAACACCAGGAAAAACTGGGAGGAGAGAGTAGAAGGGGCCTTTCTTTGTCATGTAAACTCTTTGTGTTCCTGGTCAGATTTATCACCACTGTCAGCTGCAGTGCATGTGACATTGCTTTGTTGCTTAGCTTCTTTATCAGGCTTGATCTTGGTGTGGGAGAGTCAGGAAGTTATCTAAACCACTGGTCTCCTCTGTTGCTTGGTCCCACCCCAGGCCCACTAAAACAAAAACTTTGGGGGTGGAGCCCTACAGTCTGTATTTGAACAATCTCTCCAGGTGATTTGATGCACTCTAAAGTTTGAGAACCAAGTTATAGTTATTTAATTATTACTGTATATAATGGAGAAGTTAAACTAGAAGATATCTGAGAGGTCTCGGAACATGTTTTAGAAACATTAACTCACAATCTGAGAAGTTATACAAGCTATACTGTAAATTCTAGTGAGGGCTTAAAGTACATAATTCCATCTCGAACATAGAACTATGATTTATTATCAGTCAGGAATGTACATATTATGTAAGCTGTTGATCATAGGACATACACAGCAATGTCACATGGACTATAAATATAGTATCGGTAGCAATTCTAGTTCGTTTCTCTTCTGATTTTGCTGTGTTTTGAGTTGAGAAAATTGATGTGATCAATATGTTACCTGTTTTATAGATGGTGGTTTCTATTTCATTTAAAATGAATTTAAACCCTATCAGACTTTAAAATAGTTTTCAAATGCTTTTCTTTCCACTTAAACAACTGTAGAGATACTCTAGCCCACCCTTGCAAATGATATTGCCAAAATGCACTTCCAGTAATACCAGTTAAGAACTTCTATGGAGACACTACCCAACATATAAATGTTAATTTTAGCATTTAGAAAATATGCCTGAAGGAAAAATAATTTATTTATATCACTGTTATTATTTTGCCTTCTCTACCATCTGGTACTGGCCATTTGTTTTATAACACTTAAAAAATTTAGAAAGAGTTGACACTGGAATATCCCTGCCTGTTATTATGGTACTTAGTAACTCAGTATAGAAAGCTGTGCCATCCTTCCTGTTGCAGGGGAAAGGTGTGTAAACTTGTTTCATCACATGTTGGGGTTAACTCAAAGATAGATGAGATTTTGGAGGATCTGATAGATTGTGCAGCATGTCTTTAAGCACCTGAAACATTTCCTGTATGTTCGTTCTCTTACATAACGCACCATGTTCTGGGCTATTTTTGTGTGGCACTGGTAGTACCCTTCTAAGAACCTATAGAATATGGCCACATTTTTGCCTTTTTAGGGAGCACACTTCTCTGATTTTGATGTATTGGCATTGTTCTAGTACAGTTTATATTCCATGTTATGTGAACTATACATGGACATAAGCAAACACTTTAAAAATAAAGAGAAAAAAAGTGGGTCCTTCAGAGCCTATATATTTTTCTAACTTTTTTGTCTGGAAAGGTACATGTGGATGAACTCAGTTTATTTATTTATTTTTTTTAAAGGGTGGACTAATATAAATACTTTGTTCTGCTTATTCTGTAGGGGTTGTTTAAACCAGTGTTATCAGAATTTTGCATTTATAAGAATCACCTGGGAAGCTGTACTGAAAATGGTGATCCTGGGCCCTACCCACTGAGAATCTGATTTTAGTCCTGGGGTGGGGCCCCGGAGTCTTTCTTTAGTATGAATTACCCTGAGTGTTTCTGATGCAGATGCTGCATGTTCTTTGTTTTGAAAAAACACTGATAGACGTACTGGAGCTTGGCTTGTTAGTTCTTTTTCTATTTTTAATGACTTGATCATGTAACTTTTAAATGTACCTGTGGTTTTGTATTCTGTTGTAATCTGTATAGCTTCATGATTTATAAAATAAAAGACTCTCTGTTCACTTTAAAATATTAGATCTGAGCAAGCTGGATAGTTTTTAAAAGTTGTAAGTCATTAGTTACAAAAAAGAGTATAAAGTTTTTCTTTGTGATTAAAAATATCAGTTTTTTTCTTTTAAATTGTAAGAGCAGTCAAGGATGATTCTACTTTGTCAGAAACTGTCCTCATGAAACGGATTCTCCCAAGTTAGAGTTTTAGGAATACATAAGGGCCTATTAAGTAGAAATATTAAGAGTTTTAGGAGTTGGAAGGAAAAAAATATGGTAAAAAATGCAGGGTTTTTTTTTGGGCTCAATACCTCCTTATGTTAAAAGGAAACAAAAACTCATAAGAATAATTGATTTTTCTTCTCCTAACAAAGAAGTAATCACTATGATATATTCTGTCATAGAAAGGTTCTAACTGTAAATTTATTTTGTTTCATGTTTTATGCATATGATTTTACTTACAAAACTGATGTAAGTTAGAAATCAAGGTATCTTTTGTGGGGCTTTTTTTCATGTTATCCTAAGTGTTTATTTAGTTCCGTTTCTTAGACAGTCTTAATGCAATATAGCCAATGTTATAAAAAGATTTCTAGGTATGCATTAAAAATCAAAGGTTTCAAGCTATCTCTCCAGATTAGTGAGGATCATTTCTGTAAGTAGATGTTCCAGAAATAATGAGTAGAGTTTATCAATTTTGCGTGGAAAAACTAATACAAATTCTGCTTTTAGGGATTACAACATGGATTTTTTGACTTTGAGACATTTGATGTGGATGAATATGAACATTATGAGGTTTGTACATTTAAACTTTTTTACAAAACATAATTTCATGGTGATTAATTTTTCCCTCCTCACACTCATATATTGCAAATTGAGTGTGTGCTAAATAAAAGCATTCTGGGGTTTTCAGTAGTGGTTAGTTTTGTCCTTTCTGCCTTGGTTATTTCCCTTGAATCAGGGGTCAGCAAAATTTTATTTTGGGAAAACAACATATCTATATATATTCTCCTATCAAATCGTAATTGACAGTCATTTTGTACCTTAAGGTTATAAGAAAAAGTAATTTCTAAGTATGGTTGGGTAGTAAAATTATGTTACTTTTAACATTCAGGTTTTATTTATTTATTTATGTATTTGTTTATTTTTGAGGTGGTGTCTCGCTCTTTCAACCAGGCTGGAATGCAATGGCACAATCTTGGCTCACTGCAGCCTCTGCCTCCCCAGGCTCAAGCCATTCTCCCACCTCAGCCTCTCCAGTGGCTGGAATTACAGGTGCATGCCACCACACCTGGCTAATTTTTTTTTTAAGAGATGGGTTTCACCATGTTGCCCAGGCTGGTCTTAAACTCCTGAGTTCAGGTGATCCACCTGCCTCAGCCTCCCAAAGTGCTGGGATTATAGGCATGAACCACCATGCCTAGTCCCCTTACTATATTTTTGATTGGATCAATTTTATTTTGAAACATAGCTGAATTTATTTAGTTCTAAAAGTTGGCTGAAATTTTTTTTTTTCTCATAGCATCATTACAAAACTTTTGACTAATGTCTTGACTGCTCAAAATGTAGGCAAAGGCTATCTCCAAGCTGGGTTACACTGTAAGGAGACGTTGGAGAAGAGTAGGATAAGGAGGAGTCTAAAAGTCGGTAACTTTTTCTGAAAGATTAAGTGTGAACGTGAGTAGGCTCAACATTCTCAGAATGTGAACTCATCACGTTGGGTTTCCCCAGAGTAACAATACAATTTATCTCTTCCCTTAGTAAGATAAGGGCAGCCCTCACATTTGGGGTCCTAGTCCAGAATACAGCTATTTGGATATCCTGCTTCCAGGTTAAAAGCAACATATCTGAAAAGAAACTGATCATCTTTTTACCCGAACATGGTCCCCTGCTTTGTCTGTGTTACAGCATTGCCATCCTACTGAGCACCCAGGCTCAAGGCTAGAAAGGTTGCTTTGTTTTCCTCCCTAACCTAGTGAGTATTTGGATCACTTCTACTGGTGCCACAGGATGTATTAATTATATCTCTCTTTCCTTTCTGTTCTCACTTCCTTCCCTCTGACTCAGGTCTCATGTCATTTCCTGTGGACCGGTCATTTTAATAGTTCTCTAACTGAGCACGGCCCTTCTCCTCCCAGGCTGTCTTAAACACACCTGAGTGATCCTAAAATAGAGTTCTCATCTTGCTTGTCTTGTTCTTGGCCCCAAACTGGCTGTTTCTCCCATGTCTCTGCTGAAATGAGGATAAACTCCCCTGTCCTGGCATTCTTAGCTCTGATGAGCTCCAGCCTACCCTTCTGGCCGCATCTCCTGTTTCTTCACTGTACGTACTCTGTGTTCCAGCTCCTCTGAACTGCTTAGTTACTGTTTCTTGAATGTCTCTGTTCCCTGGCTGAGCTTGCTTTTTCCCAGATACCCATCTCCTTTCACCTTCCCCTCCTCCATTTCGTTTGTGTTAAAATCCTGCACAGATTAGATCTCACCTCTGGAGTACTCCTGGCCCCCTCCCCCCCAATTTCATGTGTTAAATTTGTACTTTCCATTTTTCTTATATCATGGCTATTTGCATACAAGCCTTATTAGGTTGCAAATTCTCTATGGATAGAATTGACCAGATGGAAAAACATATACTTTGCTCTTGGATAGAAAGACTTAAAACATCATGAAGCTGCTACTTTTCCCAAAATTAATACATTTAATGTAATTTATTAAAAAATCCCAAAGAGAGTTATTTTTAATACAATAAAAACATTTTTAGTAGAGATTAAAAAAAAAAAAAACCTTCCCCTCTAAAATCCCATAATTAGAAATGAAGGGAACACGTACTTATAAGAAAGAAGGTCAGATAACTTGTAGTACATATAAATCATTGAATGTTATGCAGTCATTTTAAAAAATGAATTGAGCTGTACCACTTATCTTGGAATGATTTCTATAATGATTGTTAAAGAGAAAGCATACGGAAGAGTGCTTTAATATAGTGAGTCTTGGTAATAAAACAGACAATAATAAGACACTCCCTTGCCCACACATGTAAGTATCTACATTATATGACCAGAGGTGACTTACTTTGAAGATAATGAAGCTTAAATTTTAGTGGGCTTCAACCCCCAACTTGTATGGGCACCTTTTAGAGTCCTATACCCAATTTTGTGTTCATCATTATTTATTGTAAGGTGGACTCTCAAATTAGATAAGTTTCAGACCCCCTCCAAAACCTGGACCTGGATCCCTGCCCCATGTATATGAGCATGAAGAGTGCAAATGGCCCACTGTATTGATTATTAAATATATGGCCAAACACTAAAGCCATTTCAATTAAAGGGGAGACCGAGGTGGGAGAGTGTTGGAGGGGGTGAGAGAAGAAGGAACAATTCAAGGAAAAAACTAGTGGACGTTTTATTTATTCCTCTCTCTCTCTCTTTCTTAACTTCAGTGGTGATGCTGAGGGTTGGTTGAAAATAGTCTTGAATAACCTGAAGCAGACAGTACAATTTTCTTCTTGCAAACCAACCAGCCAAACAAACAAAAATCTGACAAGAAGGAGTTACACCTTCACCTTCACAGTGGCCACCTAGGCGATGGGAGGGGAACAGTCAGTTTTGGTGAACGTTTGAAAAATTTTGTCAAACAACTTCTTTTTAAAGAATGATTTATCTATTCTATCATAAAGCCTATAAAACAGAAAACCACCATTGTGATTGGCAGGTGGTAGGCATTTCTTAAATGTTTGCTTAAGGAATAAATGAATAAATAAAGGAGCTCTTTCCTGACAGTCTGTGGACCCAGTCCTTTCCTGTCAGAATTTCTCTTGCTATTTGCCCTGTTCTAGTGAGTATGATATTTGGTGAACTTGTGGAATAGCTGAGTTCATACATTTTATTAGCTCCAGTAAAGTCAGTATTCCAATGAAGGTAGTGTAGCTCTCAAAGTAAAATTTTATTGTTGACAGCAATTTGTGAGAGTGTAAGACTTAGATGATTAGGGGATGTTTGAGATGCAACTTTTCAAAGGCACTTTTTTTTTTTTTTTACTAAAGTACATTTAGTAAATGATATGGCTCAAAATAAAAAAAAGCCTAAACCAATGAGACTGAATCTCTATGGGAGATTAAAAGGGAATCTTAGAGTGTTACTTATAAATGCTACTAATGATGAGGTCAACAGAATGTGGGACATACTTGTTGTATAAAGTCTACAGATATACCTCTGCCCGTTGTGCAAAGGGTTATATCCATCTTCCTCCTGCAATTCCAGGGTCTAAAGCAGTGCTGTCCACTAGAAATATGAAAGTCATATGATGAAATTAGTTTTAATAATACATTTAACTTGTTGTAAATATATTGTTTGTGTATTTACTAATATATCTAAAATAGCATTTAACATGTAAGCAAAATAGAAATTATTAGTGATGTATGTATTTTACATTTTTTTGAATAAAGTCTTGGAAGCCCAGTGTGTAGTTTATTTTATTTATTATCTTTTTTTTTTGAGACAGCGTCTTGCTCTGTCACCGAGGCTGGAGTGCGGTGGTGCAATCTAGGCTCACTGTAGCCTCGACCCCCTGGACTCAAGCCATCCTGCCACCTCAGCCTCCTGAGTAGCTGGGACCACAGGTGTGCGCCACCATGCCCTGCTAATTTTTGTATTTTTTGTAGACATGGGGTTTCGCCGTGTTGCCCAGGCTGGTCTCAAACTCCTGGGCTCAAGCAATCTGCCCACCTTTCCTTCCAAAGTCCTGGGATTGCAGGTGTGAGCCACTATGCCTGGCCTCCAGTGTGCATTTTATACTATAGCATATCTTCATTTATACTAGCCACATTTCAAGTGCATCGTAGCCACATGTGGCTAGAGTATGAATTCTGCAAGGACAGGCTAGCCCATGTACTGTCATAGTCCATCAGTGTGACATGAAGCCCAGGTCACATCTCCTTGCTTCCTTCATGTGATCTGTTGTTCACATGAGAGTTAATTTCTAAGCCCTGTTCTGTTTAGAAAGTTCGAGGTGAGATACCTCAGGCTTTTGCTTTATTTTTGTGTGACTTGCAAATGGCCCGTTGTATTAAGTATTGATAAACACCACCAGGCGTTGGCCTCCATCTTGCAAAAGTGTCCTCCAAACTGTGGTCTTTTCCAGGTCCTTTACCAAGCTGTTGTGGAAATGTGCAGTTCCTCACATTTGCCCCGGTCAGACATGAAATTTGGGCAGCTCTGCTGGGAGGGTCCAGAAAAGTAACTGTGAGACAGTGGTGCAAAAGCTTCCTCTAGGAATCAGTGTCAAAACATTTATACTTCTCCAACAGATTGCTTAATGTATTCTAAAGAATACATACCTTGAGAGCCATGAGAACTTTTCCTCCTTTGAAAGCTAGCCATTTCAAATCTAGTTCAGAAAAATAAAAGGACCTTTTGTCCTAGGAAAAAATAATGAAGATGAAAGAACTTGAACATTCAATTAAATGATGTACCTGTAGGTATGTGAGGAACTGTGCTCTCCCATAGTAAAGTTTAGTGGTTAATGCTAGTGTAGGCTGATACTCTGCTTATAAGGCCTGGAAGTGGCACCCATAAACAGAGTCTACCTTTAGTTAGCTTTCTTTTGTTTTTGGGGGTAGCTGTCTTTACCAAGCAAGACATTGCCCAGACGCCAGCGATCATTTATGATGCACTGTGAAGCAGTTATTATTTATCAGAGACTATTTGAAGTTATGTCTTTAGTTTGTAATTTTGCGTCTCCCAAGGGCTTTCCACTGTTTTCCAGAAGGCCGGCCAAGTTTGATGATGGAAATGTGATTC